GAGGAAATTTCTACATATGTGTTTGTATGTGCTGCAAATGGATATGTACATATGTAGAACATATGGGAACAAAGTTATGTAAAGTTCTTAGCCTTAACCAAGCACTTTGAGGGAGTGAGTCACTGGTGTTGGGGGCTTAGGACCATAATCTCGGGGAACCTCTGGGTCAATAAGCATAATACAGTTCACAAAGGCAATGTTCTACATTCTACTTTGGTGAGCAGTGACTGGAGTCTTAAGCTTGGGAGAGACCATTTAAGATGTAACTGTTTGGCCTCTCTCCATCTGGTGCAAAGAAGAGAAAAGAAAACCAAAGACTCAAGGAAACAATTAGTCCAAAGGACTAATGGACCATAACAACCACAGCCTCCATTAGCCTGAGATCAGAAGAACTAACTGGTGCCTATGGAAGAGATCACAATAGGAGATCCTGGATGGAGAAGGAGAAAAATAGGAAAAACCAAAAACAAAAAAAAAAAATAAAAATAAAAAGACCAGGTTTATTGGTTCAACAGAGAACGCAGGAACCTCTGAGACTACGGCCCATAGACACCCTTCAAGCCTGGAAATGGACTCACCCTGTGGCTCAATGTTCAGCCAAACAACACACAAGCCTAAAAGGTGAACAATGACACTTGTGAAGAATGCACTCCTAACAACAGTGAAAAAAGTGCAGCTTTTACCTAAAAGCAAAGTTAAAAAGGCAGAAAGGGGAAGGAAAGAAGGACAAATGGACACAGGGAAATGAGGGAAGAAGTGGAAAGTGCTGCTACTTTGAGGGGATTGCAGCTAATGTCACAAAACAAAGCCTGTATAAACCGTTGAATGGAAATTAATTTTTCTGTAAATTTTCACCCAAACCACAATTAAATATATTTTTTAAAAAAATTAATAAATTCTTCAGGTTAATGGAAAATTATGCTAGATGAAAATTTAAAACATCAGAGAACAAGGAAGAGTATAAGAAATGATAAAGGAGAAAACCAAAGATTCATGGAAACAATTAGTCCTAGCGACTGGTACACCATGCGATCCACAGCCTATACAACTATGAGACCAGAAGAACTAGACCAGAAGAACTAGATGGGGTCCAGTTACCACTGTCAACCACTTGGAGGGGGATCTACATAGGAGATTCTGGATAGAGAGTGAGAACAATATGGAACAAAACTCAAAATCATTTGGAAAAAAAAAAAGTGGGGGGACCAGGTTTGCTGGTCCAATACAGCCTGGTGGAACCACTGAGACTATGGCCCCTAGCTGCCCCTCAGGTCTGGAATTGAACCCACACCTGTGGTTTCCAGCCAAACAAAAGACAGGCATATGAGTTGAACATTTACCCGAGGTAGATACACTCCTTGGAGAGAACAATCATGGGAGAAAGAAGGGCTGCTTATGCACAGGGAGACAGCTCAGGGGCAGGAGTGCATGGAGGGATGGACACAGGGAAGAGGAAACTATCAGGAGAAAGTAGGAGGGGAGCTGTTGCATCGTGGTAAATTGTAGTCAACGTCATGAGACAACATGTATGTCAACTGCTGTATGGAAAGTGAATTTGCTCTGTAAACTTTCACCCAAATCACAATTTTTAAAAAAAAATTATAAACGTCTAGGCAAATATGCGGGTACTTCATGTAACTGCTTAATGCAAAAATTCTATCAGTTTTGTGGCCTTTATATAAGTAGGAAACATATAACAAATATAGCATAAACTTGGAGGAATGTGAACTGATACAGTATACAGTTTCTACAGGTTACGTGAAGTGATTCAATATTAACTGAAAGTGAACTATGAAAACTTAAGTATGCTTAAAAAAAAAACAAAACCTATTGCCATCAAGTCAATTTCGACTCATAGAGACCCTTTGGGACAGAGTAGAACTGCCCAATAGGTTCCTGAGGCTGTAACTTGTTACAAAAGCAGATTGCCACACTTTTCTTCCACAGAGAAACTGATTGGATACAAACTGTTGACTTTTTGGTTAGTAAGCAGCCACTTAACCACTGTGCCACCAGAGCTCCTTTAATTATCTAGGCATTCAATTCTGTGGATCATAACAAATTATGGATAACATTGCAAAGAATGGGAATTCCAGAACACTTCATTGGGCTCATGAGTAACCTATACATAGACTAAGAATCAGTCATTCAAACAGAACAATGAGATACTACATGGTTTAAAATCAGGAAAGGTGTGCATCACAGCTGCATTCTTTTACCATATTTATTCAATATGTATGCTGAGAAAATAACCTGAGAAACTGGACTATATGAAGAAGAACAGGCCATCAGGATCGAAGAAAGACTCATTTAACAACCTGCAGATGACACAACCGTGCTTAATGAAAATGAAGAAGACTTGAACCACTTACTGATGCAGATCAAAGACTACAGCCTTCAGTATGGGTTACATCTCAGCATAAAGAAAACAAAAATCCTCACAACTGGACCAATAAGCAATATCACAATAAATGGAGAAAAATGGATGTTGTTAGAGATTCATTTTACTTGGATTCACAATCAACACTTTTGGAAGCAGCAGTCAAAAAATCAGATGTCACATTGCATTGGGCAAATCTGCTGCGAAAGACCTCTTTAAAGTGTTAAACAGCAAAGATGTCACTTTGAAGACTAAGGTGTGCCTTACTCAAGACATTTTCAGTAGCCTCATATGCATGTGAAAGCTGGTCAATGAATACAGAAGACTGAAGGAAAACTGATGCATTTGAGTTGTGGTGTTGGTGAAGAATACTGAATGTACCATGGACTGCCAGAAGAATGAACAAATCTGTCTTGGAAAACACATAGCCAGAGTGTCCCTCAGAAGCGAGAATGGTCAGATTTCATCTCACATACTTTAGACATGTTGTCAGAAAGGGCCAGTCCCTGCAGAAGAATATCATGCTTGGTAAAGTAGAGGGTCAGTGAAAAACAGATGGATTGGCACAGTGGCTACAGCAACGGGCTCAGGCATAGCAAAGACTGTGAGGATGGGACAGGACCAGGCAACGCTCCATTATGTTATACAGAGGCTTCCTATGAGTCGGAACCTAACAACAACAACAACATCAACCACCCTGACTTAATCATTATCTACAGAACTACACCTCACAAGCAGTGAACAGGGGACACTCTGGTGGCATAGTGCCTAATACATTTGACTGCTAACCAGAGGGCTGGCAGTTCAACATTCTTTTCCAGTGTTCATAGTAGTTCACCAAGATAAACCATATGGTGGATAATGACACAAGCCTCAATTAATTTAAAAGCATTGATATCATACAGAGTGTGCTGAAGGAAGGCAGCTGCTTTCCAGCATGAGATTCACTTCTCCATAACCACCCACGGCCACTTGATTGTACTAAAGAAGCTTCTCCTGGTGACTTTTTAACCCCCATGCCATTAATCAGAAAATGTAGGGTACCTGAATAGACATTTCATGAAGGAAAACATTCAAACGTTCATCAGACACATGAGAAGATGCTCACCATTACTAGCCATCACAGAGATGCAAATCAAAACCACAATGAGATACCATTTCACTCTCACTAGGATGGCTAAGATAATTTTATATATATATATATAT